GGTCCATCGACTAGAACCAGAAGGGAGGAACTGGAAGGCTGTCGTGGCATTCTTTGGCATTTCCACTTGTGATATGGCATGGCTGTGTCTAAGAATAGATATTATTGCTGCTCTATACAAGAAGCTGTATGGGGGGCAACAAAGAAATGTTCTTGCTATGGGTTTTATCAGTGTCCCCTAGGACATTGGTAAAACTGTAACCATACAAGTATTACCAATAACTGGTTTAAAAAAAAAAGAGTTTGCATTTAATGAGCTTATTGCTTTATATGATTGCTTTAGTCTAACATAAGCTTGTGCTGCTACTTGAAAAGGTGTTTGTGTTCCCCATCCTAACCCTTACTAACCATTTGTGTCTGCTGCTGCCTCTTTTGTGCTGGCATGAACATTGATGTGATTCATAATGAATCAGGTGGGACAACTGATCCAGCTGAAAAGCAATTTAGCTGAAAGCACAGTCTGCTGTACCAACACTGGTACAGGCACAAGGCAGGTACCAAGAGCAAGGAGCCAGATGAAGGAGCTCACTGGCCGTGGTGTTAGTTTATGCATCGCAAAGAATAAAGAATGTGCACTTCAGTCACAAGCCTTCACAAAGAGTTAAGCTGTTCCCCCTGCAGAGAGCAACTGGGCACACAGGCTTGGTCTGTCTAGTCAGAAGGATGCATGAGGAAGAGTCAAGGATTCCCAGGTCCTGACTGTCATGCCAGTTCATGACTCAAATACATAGAGATGTACCAAGATCGACACCAAGCTCAGACCTTCTCATGATGCTCATCCGATGCTCATGAAGCACTTAGTTCAGAAACAGCTCTTTCATAGTCAGCACGCTTATGCTAACATGAAACCAGCATGACAGGAGAAGCAGGTCTTATGTTTATGTCTTCACTTTGAGCATTCCCAACTATTTTAGCAATGCTTTCCATATCTTCCACTCTTGTTGCTATCTCCTCTGGCAGCTTGGGGTTGTTTGATTTTCTCCCGGTGCCCACGGTGGCTCTCAAAATCCCTTTTGTCACTTTGTTTGAGGAGCAAAAGGCTCCTTAAAAGGGTTGTCTAGTGCTGGTTAGGCAGCTTCCCCTACGTATATTCAGGGAGACTAGATAAGCAATGCCTTAATGGCAATGTGGGAGAGGTTGGATGCCTTGTGCTCCTTCCTGTGCTCTGATCTACACTCCAGCAAAAGTCTCTCAACATTGTCTAATTAGAGTTAACCTTTCAAACTCCTACTTCACTAGTTTGAAAATTGTTTATTTATTAATTAGTTGATCTCTCCTCTTGAATTTTTCAAATCAAACAGGTTACAACACGCACACACACAAACACACACAAAACGCTGCTTATTCACTACCATTAATAGATTTATTAGAAAAATCCTGTGTGGGCCCATATCAGGTAACCTGAAAAGAGGATAAATCATCAGTTCTAATGTGAATGTCTTTTCCTGCAAAAGACATTCCTTCATGCTGAAAGCTGCTGAAAGAGCAAGTTTTCATAAGTTTACATGCTCAATGCTTTTTAAAAATATGTCTTCCTCCTTCCACAGTGCTAGTTGTGTGGTTTATTTAAGAAAATGTAGCCTACATACCTTCTTCTCCACTCCTTGCAGCCTCCTGGCAAAATAATCGTTTTCATCCCAGAAAATTCAAAGGTGCATGACTGGAGTTGCTAAAAGGCTTGACTCAACTTTTCTGAGATTTCAATGAACAGGAATTTTTTTTAGCTGGAGGAACTGTCAGATGCAAGGTAGCAGATGTCCAGCTATCAGTGTCATCTGCTGCCTTGCCTCAGCAGATTTCTGAGACTAAATACAGTGCCTAATTTTTTTTCTCAGCTTTTTTTTTTTTCCTTTTTTGGACAGCGTAAGCTACATACCCACCATAGCTTTCCATTGCTGCCAGATGAATGAAAGTGAAAAGCTGAAGTTAAATCTAGGTGTGCTGTCTCTTTTGGAATATGTTTAGTATGCAATCCCTTTTCTTTCTCAACTGAAGCAGTCCTTCTAAGGCATACCTGTGACTCACTCTTGTAAGCCTCAGCCACAGCATCGTCTGCCTGACAAATTCAAGGCAGATTGACCTGCTTCCCTATGCTAAAACGGTTTAACTGACTTGTTCATTTTAGAGAATGTTTCCAGAAAGTAGTCTTCTTGTTTCTAAAGCCTGATGGATCTATTTTTGACGCCTGAAAGTCAGTAATAGCTTCCCTCACATGTGCTAACATATCACTAAGTATGGATAAGAGTATCACCTTTGAGCCGTATGTAAACTTTTTTCAGGCTCACCCAGTACACTTTATTTTGTTCTTTCCTGGCTCTTCCCATTTTTCTCTTGCTCCCTTTGATTTTTCTTATAATCTTCTCAGTTGCTTCAACAGCAGATCCTATCCTCTGTAAGAGCCTTGTGTTAGTGCTCCTTGACTTTCTGAATCATTCCAGACTGGATCCTATAGTAATGAAACCAGTTGTTAGTCTGGTGTAACATTTAGGCTTTGTAAGAGAAGCAATACATGCTGGTTTTATATCACTTTGGGATTCCTCAGTGCTAGCTGATCCTCCAGAGTCCAGAACGTCCAGGTGTGACGCTGGCAGAAAGTTTTAACAGGTTGGCCTATGCAGCTGTGCTATGATAGAAATAGCCAAGAAACTATTTTGGATATTGAAAAGAAACATGGCTTGAAATAGCAGCAACCCAGAGCTGGTCTGCTGCTGAGACCCATAGGAAACTTAGCGGGCCAGAGCACCAAGGCTCAGCAGCCATGCCACCGTGGCTTTCTCTGCCCAGCACCAGCTGTATACTGGCACTGCAGGCTGAGAGAGGGGAAGCAAAGTGAAATACTGGAGACCTACGTTCATTTCTTGGATGCGTCAAGGATTTCCTGACATCTTGAAGACTTATATTACTTACTTATTTTGTCTTACTATTTCCAGCTGTAAAATAGGGAGAACCTTTTTCAACGCCTCATAGAATAATTGTGAAGGTAAATCCAAATAAGCATTAAAATGCTATTGTAGTAGGTACCTGCATAGTTATAATAATGCCAATCATACAATTTATGAATAGGATGGGTTTTCAAGTTTCTGTTTCTACAGAGGGCAGAGCTTATTCCAATTTCTTTTCATAGTATTCTTTACTTTTTTTTTAGAGACGCTCCTGATTTCCTAATGAAATAGTTTCAGAAAGACAGCTCTCCTCCCCTGAATGCTCAATGGAACCTCATAACAGAGTGCAGACAGCTTGTGTGTAAAGTCTGTTGGTCACAATATCTCTTGGGGTTTGGCTTAAGGCAAAATGTGCATGCAGCCATTTAAAAGAAGACCATGCTATTTAAATAAAAAGTGGCATTTTGGTGTCATATGAGATTCAAAAAGTTATCTCTGTCCTGGGTTTGATCCCACCAGAGTTGATGAGGTTTGCTGCTGATTTCACAGGGAGCAGAGCTGGGGTGAGTAAGCTAGCAGTGAGATTTAAAGAGAAGAAATGCCAGACAGGAAATCACTTCCAGAGTGCTGGGGAAGGCAGGCGTGTTTTTTACCTCTCCGTTTGAAAACACGAGACTCTGACTAGTCCACACAGCTGGGGCAGACTGCCAAAATTAATTAGTCCTCCTTGTTGGGGTTTGCTAAGCCATTTTGCAAGGAGGCTTCACTCTCCCACGGATGCTTTTGTCCTCCTCTACACTGCCTCCCAAAGCACCATGGCTAGTCCCTTCGAAACCTCCCTCAGGGCCGTGCACCTGCAGTACAGGGCTGCCAAGAGGCAGCAGCAGAGCTGAGGCAGCTTGCTGAGGAGTCAGGGGGTTGTGCTCCATGCCTCACACAAGACACTTGCTCGGCTGCTCATGAGCTCCCTATTAAACTGTTTCCAAGCAGTTCCCAGCAAAAACTTCCCAATCCTATTCTGGGCCAGCTTTGGGAAGGGAACCTCTACTTGCCAAGCTATAGTATCGCCCTGCCCTGGGTAGGATGCCTTGTGCTGCGCTTGTGAGTAAGACTGGCAACTGTGCTTCATTTCCTCAGGGATGGCCCAGGCACAAGAGGCTACTGGCTCCCACTTTTCTCTGCCACTGTGCAAAGCAAATCAGCAAACAAGTTGCCACACAGAGCGCTGTGAAAGCAGTAGTGTATAAGGAGTTAGGCAGATGGCAGTGCCTAAGTGGGGTTGCTATATTTGACACTTAGCCAGAGTGAGCCCCAGTGGGCTCATAGGGTAGAACTTCCTCACTGCTCAGGTCAGATTCAACAGTATGCACAGCAGCACTATCTCATGCTACCATATCTTCATTACTTCAACAGTGGCTTGTTTCAACTGGCTGTAAGACAGCACTTCATGAGGTATTAGGCATAATTAAAATTAACCTTCAGCTGCCAACACAAATAACTAGCCTAAATGCATTCTCCTTTCCTTTATATTGAGTTGCCTTTGTTCTGTTACTGAGTGGTGTTATTTGGTCCTTCTCAATTGTTTTCCCAACCCTCCTCAAGTTTGGAATAACCTGAAATAACGAGCTCGTGATCATTTCTGCAGTGAGCCTCTAGGCTTGGCTCCCTTCACAGTGAAAGCGTACACAAAAGGAGCTGGGAGTTCCTGTTCGGAGAAAGGTGAAAGGCATAGTGCAGAAACAAAAGCCAATTTACAACTTGTCTATTCCTCGTCACACCATGGAGCGACATTGTTTTGACAGGTCAGAGGTAGTGTACCTCATTGTACTGAGGTAGAAATGTCTGAGTAGCCAGAATCTCCCTTTGAAATGTGTATGAAAAGGAAAGTAGGCCAGAGAAAGAAACAATTCTCTCCTAATACAGTCATGCTAGCTAACAACATTTAGAAGATAGCATCTACAGAAATATCAGCCTTTCAAAAGCAATGAGAATTAGGAGATGGCTTAAGTGTCAGTGTCTCATTTACGGCATCTGTGGAAACCTCTCCGGAAACCTGATCCACATGCCCATTCATTTTTGGCTATTATGCAAAGAATAATTACATTATCAACCAACCAGTAAAGCAGGTAAAAGCCATGGTGAATGTCATTGTGCCCATTGCTCTGTGTAATGGATGAACGGTCTTTTCATTTCTTCTGCATCTGACCTGTAAAGGATAGAAGGCAAATGGGAATAATAGTGACGAAACCATGAAAACAAAAATGGGAATGTTCACATTATTTTGTGAGTCACTATGCAAAGACCCACTTTTGCCCAAGTTTGCAGTGATCAATCCATGTGAGTAAATTTAACACTATGTGGATCCATGCGTCCAGAAAGCAGTAGAGTCCTGTGACTGGGACACCAGCAGACTCTACAAATTTACCTCCCCAACAAGATTACTATTTTGGGCATGGCACTGCATGGCCTGGCTGAAACACCTGCTGCTTTGTTGCTAAGGCAGCCTTTCCAAGCTTAGGCCAACTCCCTGGTGATTTATAGATGTGCTGGAGCTCTAAACTGGTGTGACATTTTTCACGCAGGAAGGAGAAGACAGTGAAAGGAAAAATGTTCTCTGATGGTTGAAAGCTGTTTACCTTACCAACTTTCCTTGTCTTTGTACCAGATTCTTGTTGTAAGAACTCTGATACAATCACAGAACCACAGACTAACTGAAGAAAATTGAAAGACTCCTACCACAGCAATAAGCTTTCAGTCAGGCCACAAGAGCAAGGTTATGTGGTTGCTTGGCTGCTCCTGTTTTCCTACGTCAGCAATGGCAGGCTGTCAATTCTAGTAATGCAGTTAAAATAACCTTATAGCGTAACATGGAAAAAGTAACGACAACAAAAGGAAGCGATAAAATAAAATTGAGAGGAAAAAAAGCAGTTGAAGTGTTCTGAAGTTTCTCAAATACACAAGTATTTAAAGGATTTAATAGCTGCAACTGAAAATAACAGGGTTTAGATAATGCCATGCATGTCTGTCATAACCCTCCTGTCATGCACCACCAGTGTGATAGGCCAACCCTGAGGACCTGAAATGTCCCTCTTTTCCAGGGCTGGCAGTGTGAATGTGTCTCCTAGCGACTGGATCATTTTGCAAATTCTGGCCACCTGAGTAGCTGTGGGTAGCTGAGCTGCCCAAATTGACACCAGCTGGCTGAGCAATAAAGCCTCTGCTATAGTATTACCTCTTGGGTTGACTCTCCCAGGGTTTTACTCTTCAAATCTAGGCTGCCCCTGTGCAAAAGTCTGCCCTGAGTGGGCACAAACCAGTTTGAAGCTGCCATCACTCTAGCTCTGCTGGGGTGCCAGGCCTTGCTGCCAGAGTTGTGTAGACGACGCTTTGGTGCAGAACAAAATCAGGTCAAAGAACATCAGAATTTGGCCTGAATCATTTATAACTTAAATAGTAAGAAAGCAGAGGGTATTTGGACTGTATCTTTTCTGGTCTGCTGATTGCTGAAACAGAGTACTCAGAGAATTCACAGGTTTTATTGCAGCATCAGAAGAAACATGAAAGTAATGTTGTTACAATACTCAAAGTGCTGGGTAAAGAATCATAGCAGAAAAATAAAACTCACTGAACTGTTAGATGTCTCATGATGGATGAGTCAGAAACCGTTTGTTTCCTGCAACACTGTTACCAATTTTGCAGGCTTCAAAAGGAGAAAATGGAGCTGTGGATGACATAGAAGAGACAATTTGTGAAAAAATGCCCACAGTTTGGGGGGTAGATGAAAAACAAGATATAGCAATTACAAAATATCAGGAGACACACTATGTGGGTAAAGGGTGTGTCAAGGCTCTTCAAGCATTTGAGAAATTAAATTCCAAGTTATCATTCTTTCCAACAATTTCCAGTGAGCCGAAGCAGGTGCTTCTTCCAAAGACCATTAGTAGATATATCAGATACATGTTGCCTCTGGCACCAAATGAAAGATAAAGATAGAGGCTCTGGTGATCCTACGTAGCTTTGAAGCCTCAATTTGCATCCTTTGTGAATTCCAGGGGGGGAAAAAAGTGTTTTCTACTGGTAAAGTTTAGAAAGCAGTGCTATTGATAGAATGTTACGAGACAGAACAAGAGCAAAAGTTCACAGGTTATTATGAGGCTCAGGTTCAATATTACTCACCCTTGTTTCTCTCATGTGAACCGGACTGAGTGTTACCGGTGAAATACATTTCATGTGTAAGTGGTCCAGGTAAGGCTTCATTGTCTACCACTTAATCTCAAAATAAAAAGAGTTATTTGGTGCTTTGGGCTGTGTTTGGGCCATCAAAAGTGGGTGAAGTTCATTTTGATTACACTAAATTTATTTCTGTCGAATAAAACCAATGACTTCTATAAGATTTGCGAATCCTGGAAAATATTCTGGATATCAACTCCAAATGCTAGTCAGCTGAGTAGCTCTATATAATAAGTCCATGGAATAAGCCCTGACTGTTTCTTGTCCTTCTGCTATTTCAAATGCAATGCCTTAAAAACAAGAACTGAAAGATGCAGGGTAGAGTGGGAGCCTAGATTCTACTGGCAAAAGTTGAAAAGTAATTCACAAATATGTCTATCAGCTACTTAACAGAGATCAACACTTGAGGAAGACATCTCCATGGGGGTCTTATAGTGTAACATCTACACTCTCCCATAGTTCAGGAAGGAATTTAGAAAGAGTTCAAAGGACACCCAGTGCAGAGAAAGCCTCTGGAAATGTTATGGGAAATGAAAAACCTGGCTCATAATGAGAAACTTTGAGAGTATTACCAATTTACTTTACAAAAAAAGTGATTGAGAAATAACTCAGTTATGATCTGTATGTATGACTAGTACTGAGAAGAGAGCGTGAATGGACTTTTCAGTATAGTGGACAAAAGTACGACAAGATCCATTAACTGAAAGCCAGACAGTTCAAACTAGGAATGAGGCACATTTTTAATAATGAGTGTAATTGAAACAATTTGCCAAGGACTTCAGTGAATTCTCCATCACTGATAGTGCATGTAGCAAGACTGGAAATTTTTCTAGAAGACATCTAGTTGAAACAAGAATTAATTCACAGAAATTCAACGGCGTGTCACATACAGGAGGTCAGACTAGATTATCACAAATGGGCCTTTAGAGCTTTAAAGTCAAAAATCTCTGGGAGATTGAAGAGGCATTAACAAATTTTCTCCTAGCAGAATGTCCTTAACAAAGATTGATCTTTCTATCTGTCAATGAATTTTCCATACTTCTATCATTGTCTTTCCCAAATGAATTATGTTAGTGTAGTGAGATCAACAATGATTTCATAGTGTCTTTTCTTTTTCCGTCTGCCTTGGTTACTGAAGTATTTATTCTGAATATATAAAATGTTATGTTTCATTTGAGAAATGACCCATTCAATTATATCTCATGAAAACAGCTTAAAATAATACATAAGCAAGTTTTAATGAACGTTGTAAAACTGTCAACTGAAAAATGTTACAACTTTAAAACTTCTTAACAAATTAGCTTCAAATATCTTTTATCAAGAGCTGATGAATTTTACAAAATAATTATGTTTATAGTTTCCAATTTCAGAATTTATGAGTTAGTCAAGTGCAAAAGTTCTGGTTGGACCATGCGGCAAAATAATCTTTACACACTGTAACACCTCAGATTATTTTCCTCCATCTTCGAAATACCTCAAATTTGTCATATGCTAAAATGAAATCTGGAAAATGTCAGTCCCTCAAAACATGCTTGTCACAGTTAAGAAAAACCAGAAAAGGTGTAGTTGTATTAAAAAAATGAACTTAGTGATAATTATAATGGAATTACTGTGCACGTTATCAGTTTGCCTAACCTAAGATGCAGACACTAAGAGACCTGCCAGTAGAAGTTGCCTGGGAGATGGGCTGAAACAGCCTGTCTCCTGATGCCTGGGCTGTCTTTTCTCCCTGGCTGACTTCATTCACATGCCTCATCATGCCAGTTTACTCAGTCCTTTACCCTCTCCCCAGCAGAGTAGGATGTTGCAACCTATTTACAGTGAGGCGATTGCCTTACTGAGTGAACTTTCTGTTACCTGGCAGGAGAAATTCCTCAGGAAACAATGAAGTCTCACTATCTGTGAAACAGCTAAGGGATTAGAGGTGTCTTTTCAAGTCACTGAAATGTTCCTGATAAAGGGTACAGCAGCACTCTGCAGGAAGTACAGAAGAGTATTGACCCCAGTAAAGATAGGGGGGATTTTTTGCAAGTAGAAACTGATTATCTATGTTTGATTTTGGCTATTTTTGCCCCTGCTCTGGTAAAAAGTGATATGATACATGGGACAGCTGTAAGTTTCACAAGCATTAAGCAAGTCACCCATACTGCCGCAAAGTGGCTATATGTTGCGCAGCATGACCATGTATAGAGAACTCTGAATGGGGACATCCACAGTACAGTGAGATCAGTGGGGCCCGGGAGGAAGCCACCCTTTCCTGCTTCTCTTCATGTACGTCTATACCTTTGAGGCTTTGTGCCCAGTGAAAGATCTTCAGGTGGAACCTGTGGCAGAAATGTATTGAGCTAGGCACACACTTGTCTGGCCTCTGCTGGAAGGAAACCATTTGTTCTTCCCAAGAACTCCTCAGCAGAGGAGAGGCTGCAGCTGCCCTGCTTTACCATAATCTTTCTCTTGGAGATCTTTGCACTGACAGGACGCCCAGGTTCTGTGTCCTACTACCGTTGACGATGGTGGATCTAGCCTATTGCATATCTATCTATCTGTGGGAAAAAAAGTTGCCTGTCATGAGTGAAATAGTTGGGGGTTGGGATGTGGAATTAAAAGAATGTCTTCTTTCTACAGTGATTTGAAGCCAGAACGGCTGTGAATCTCATTTCAGAGTCTAGCAGAAAGACTGCCAGCACGGCTATAGTAAAGATGATAATTGTATGTTGTCTAATCTTATCTGGATATGTCCCCTCTAGTGGTTTCCTGCTGGTAAACCGCAGAGAAGAGAGGCAGTAGTAAGTAAACTAGAGGAAGTGAGATGAAATATTGTGTACCCCTTTGGTTAATAGAGGAGTCATTTGAAGGATATTGCTGATTAAAATCAATAGCATTTTTCTCCATCTGGGCTTTCAAAACCAGTTTCAGACGATACAGAGGATGTTTTGTTTCACTGCTTTGCTTGGGTAGGAAAGCCACTAGAATGAAATATTAGCATTGTGGTAAACTGTGCATGTGCTTTAACGGCAATGTGTGAAATGGACATTTTACAGATTGTGAGCGTGATTTCACCCACAACGAAAGGGCTGCTTTGGGTTAGAGAAGGAAAATCCATCCTCAGACTACCCTGAGGTGCAAGAAGCTGCCAAACAGCCGTGGTTCCTGGAATAAGAGCCTCTCTGTCCCCAGGCTGTGTGTGTGTGGTTTCAGGGCTGCTGGATCTATAGAAGCATGAAGTCTGGGGATTTGCCTCCAGTGTTGTCCTTAGCACCAGCCCACGGGTGGCATGGTGATTCCCAGCGAGTGTGTGAAGCCAGCAGCTTCCTCCCTACTGCTGCTCACAGCTTGCCTCTGGTGTGAGCTCGTGGAGGGAGAGGAGGTTGCTCCAAAAGCCTAGTCAGGGTTCCTTTTCAGAGCACCTCACCTCATTAACTGCATAAGAAAATACTGAGCTATGTCAGCAAAAAGATTTGTGAGTGAGATGACATCTTTATGCATTGGTGATGTTTTATGCTCGGGGCTTACTTACTTCACCCAGATTCTAGGCTGATGCCTAAGGCTGAGGAAACAAACCTAAACTTTCTTCAGCTTGCCTATTCATGAGTGCCTTGTGTCAGCAAAACGTGCCTCATCATGTGGCTACTGGACGCTTCCTCTGCCTCCTGCACCACTTCCAAGCATCCCACTCAGACCCACTTCCCTCAGAATGAATGGAAAAGTCCACTTTTGTTGTTAGAGTTATTATTGTTATGGCACTGGAAACAAATAGCCTGTAGGAGATGTTGGAACAGTACCCTGTGTGTTAGCAGTATCTGAACACTGGCTTCAGATGTGGCTGAGCTGCCTAGGCTTTGCCCCTACTTTGACATTAAATATGAAGGGGAGAGGTGAAGAGAAAGACACTGCAGGAAAAAGTTGGCATCCCGCTAAATCAGAGCTGTCCAAACTGTGGGATGTCTCTGTCTGGCTTCTGTTCATATGCTTTCTGGCCCCTGGCTGAACTGTTATAATAAAGTCTGGGTCCATATTGTCAAAGGCTGGACCATTCTGCTCTAAGTGATGTATCTCAAATCTGCAGTAGGTGAGTGTCCTTTACTAGAAAATTCAAGTAAAATACAGGCATCCTGGAAGAATTAGGTGTTCAAAGAAAAATCAGTCCCTTCCCTTCTACCCATCCTTTTCAATTATGTTTTTATGGTTTTTAGTTTTTAGTTTGGGTAGGGAATTCATCTTATCCCTTTTGCTTTTGTGCTCCAGAGGCCTGAACAGCCCTTTATTGTGCTTGCAAGAAGCTCCTGTTTACCTCTTTTCACCTGTGTTCTGTTTTCTGGCCCTTGTTTTTCTCTTGTTGACTCCCTGAGGGTACACAGATGGTAGCCTGGAAGCCAAATGGAATGATACTGGAGAAGTGAGAGAGTAAGGGGGGGGGGGGAGCCAATAAAACCGGAAACCACAGCAAAGCAGTAATCACAGGCAGCCTCCAGACTCTCCTCCTGACAACGAAACCTTAATACATATCAGTGTCCTGGATCTTGTCAAGATGCAGGTAATATATAATTTTAGGAACGCCACCTAAACACATTTGGTTTGTTAGCTGTAAACGTTTAGACCTGATAAGGCACAATTCCATCATGAAGTGCACTCAGGCTGTTGAGAAACATCTTTTCATTCACATGCAGTGCCATAGTTAGTCTGTTCTTTAATGGTGGAATTCAGCCTCAGGCACCACATCAGCAGAATACCTAAGCATTTCTCATGTTCAGATTAACACAGGTTGTGGGCACACTCTGCAGAGGGGTGAATTCACCCTATGTGCAGGAAGGGGTTAATTGAATTCACCCTATGTGCAGGAAGGAGTTAATTCTACCACTGCAGACTGAGAGGGATTTGACTAGTGTTTCTTCAGAGGATAAGGAAATGCCAGAACTTACAGAAGACTTCAATCAGTTTTCTGTAGTGTCATGTTCTTTGGGATAGTAGGTGAAACACCTGAATATTGTTGGAGAAAGCTGATTTGCATCCAAAGCACTTTACAAAATGAGTCTTTAAAAAGAAAATCCAAGAGGTAAATGCAAATACAGTTCTTAGCATGCAAAATATTATAGCTCTGTTACCTGTTAGTGTAGCGCTATACCAGCTTCATAAGTTTGCACATGAAACGTAGCCAAGCTTATCAAAGAACAATTTAGCTGCACTGCTGATTTAGCCGGCAGAAAATCAGCCACCGTAGAGCGAGGTTAGTCATTAAAGAAACAAGTTTAGCAAAACAGAGTAAAAAGAGCATAGTCCCTGTGCAGGGCCTGGAGCCAGCACCGCACCGCACCGCGCAGTTGATAAGAGGACACCTAGTGGTGGTTAGCAGTGGGAGCGCCTTCCTCAAAGAGATGCTCGTAAATCGTTGCAGATAAACACTTCTGCTGCCAGTCATCTCCTCTGTTTTGTCCAATAATGAATTTGTGGTGTACTGTGGGGTGCGCAGCACAGCCACACTGCGCAATGCCACGGGGAGAATTGAGCAATGAGGTTTGGCAGGGCCTACAGAAAACAGATCATCGGTCAAATTCTGCTCTGATATACAGTGTTGAAAGGGTAGTACTGGAGAACAGAATTTGATCAAGAATATTTTACATAGTTTGATATTGAGGCACATTTGTCAAGGGAGGGCTATTAATGACGGTGCGGAGAGATGCTTTCAAACCTGAGCAGAAGGATCAAAATGAATAACATGATATAGAGGGGGTGAGGGTAGGCTGAAAAGAGAGGGAAAAAAAAAAAGCAAAAAGGAGAAGAAAAAACAGAAAGGACTAGGGAGAACTCGTTCTAAAAAAGATCCTGAGAGAGTCTGGAGAACAATTTTGCTGGTGATCCAGTTTTCCTGCAGAACAAGAGATAGAGAGGAGAAAGTAAATGATAGCAAGGAGAGAAAATTCAGTAATTGTTGCGAAGAGTCTGAACTCCAGAGAGGCAGCTGGTTTTCAGAGTGAAAGAGACTCATTGAAATAAGCAGCCAGAGCACTACAGCAATGAGAAACTGAACAGTAGAGAAATTACAAACAAGTACAGGCTACCATAGTTTGTATGCTCTTGCATCTCTCTTAATCCCTTATCTTTCCATTGACATTTCCTGGGCTAGGTTTAGAGGAATGATCCTTCCAAGATGGACACTGTTTATAACATGGTCATAATGGAAAAATACATTGCTTCCTCCGCTTGCAGTATTTTTTTCTGAGGCTCCTTGTCAGGACAATAACAACATTATTCCTATGGTCTTGCTTTAGTACAGAGATAGTCTAGCTGTACTACTGATTTTAGTTAGAAATAATATATTCAAAAATGGTTTTTTAACCAAAACAGAAACACTCAAGATGGCATCTAAACACTAAGTAATGTATGTGATGTTTGCTAGTGCTTTTAGAATAAATGATGTCATTTGAATTTTGTTCTACTAGAAAGCCTGCATGAATCTGTGCTTAAATTTACAAATGTGGACTGTATTTCTTAATTTAAAATGCGTATTAAAGGAACAGTTAAGCATAGTAACCCAAAATTTGGCCTGCCCTGGATGTTTTGGATCTTTGGTGTGCATGTGGCCGTTCTTTTCCACTATATCCTTCTTCTCTGTTTCCAGCAAAGGGTAGGCAGTGAGAAGTTTACAAGGCAGCAGAATACTTGTAAATGTCAACATTCAACCTGTTCACCAGAGCTGAGCAAACTGGTACGACCAGAAAGTTACATACTCATGAGAGGTGGGCGCGGGCGGAGGGGGAAGCAAGCGAGAGAGGACAAAAAAAAAAAAAAAGGATCATGGATAGTTTCTGTAGGGTTCAGTAGGAGTGGACTTTTAATTCCAGTGATGTTGCAGGCCTCGTAATTTGGGGTAGCAGATGGGATCAGCCACATCAGTCATGATAACATCTTTTATGTTGCAACCTCCGTGTAGAGGTGGCTCCTATGACTGCAGATGTGGCCCCTTGCAGAACTGGCCCACAGAGTAGAAACAGGGAAATTCAAATTTCAAAACCAGATTTTGTTTTGCTTACCAGAGCTCGTGGAGGAGGTGGAGGAAATGCGGATACCTCATCATGGCTTATTTGGCAGGCAAACTAAACATGTTCAGAGCTGTACAACACGGAGGGAAAGCACCCCTGTTCCTGACCGTATACAATTTGAAAGCAGCACGCAGGAGGCAGAGCACACAGGGCAATTCAGAGGACGCAGCTGCGGTGCATTTATTTACTGTAGGTCTCTCCGGTTCGAAGCGATAGGTAAGAACAACAGGCACTAACGGACGGGAACAAAGCCAAAGACTTGGCAGGGGTCGCTCCCCGCTGCGAGCCCCGCGGGTCTCCCACGGCAGTGCCAGTTGGGTACGATTTGATTTTTCAGGGCTTTCACTAGGGTAACTCAGAGCCTATCAGGGTGACACAGAGGCCCAGTCACCCTGTTACTCGAGGGGTCCCGAGGGAGGCAG